GTAAATTGTGTGACTCTTTTAACAACTTTTTTTAGGGGGGTGTTTGGGATTGCTTATAAAAACAACTTATTAACTTATTCCGGTGTGCTGCTGGTAATAATCATTTTTGACTGTTCAAATAAACAGTTTATATCGGTGTCAATCCAGTAATAAGAAGTTTTTGAAGAGGTAAAACCATTATAACTTATAATAAGTTGATTAAGACTTTTGTAAAAAAAAAATATAATTTGTTTCAAATAAGCAATCACAAACATCTTTTTAGTTTAGTAGCATACTTTGAAACATTTGGAAGAATTTGATAAATGTCTAATATTACTTCCCACTTTTCTACAATTTATTTATAACTGTTTTTGCGATTGACATTCTACTGACCCTTTGGTTTCATAAAAGTTGAAACTTAAGAAATCGCATGAAAATTGCAACGTGTTTCTTGAGAAATGTTTTATGTCAAAGTTACATATTTACTATTATGATTATTATAAATAAATGACAGAAGAAGATTTGTGATTTCAATTAAAAAACAATCCTATGGAATTCTTTAGAAACCACGTTTGAAAAGGTTAAGAGAGTGTTTGGTTAGAGGTATTAAACAATAATCAATGTGAATGAAAATAAAAGAAACTGTTTGGTTTTTCATAATATAATGAGTTTGGTAAAGTAATTTGACTTGGTGTTCACTTATCCGAGTAAGCGTTTGGTAAACGACCCCGACTGAAATCTTGAGGAAATATAGTGATAGATGAAGCCGTGCTGAGGTCATGACGACGTAAGCATGACAATGGCATGAGAGATGGGCTAGATGGTAAAAAGCAAAATTGGAGGATGGTTTGGGAGCATGGCGTGCAAAGGTAAGTTGGCAGTCAATGATGCCAGTTTAAACAGTTTAGTAACGTTTTTTTAGTGGAGACAGAAAATGATAAGTCAGAGAAAGACAGAGGGCTGATTATGTAATTTCTTAAAAGTTAATATGAGAGAGAGAGAGGGGCTCCGACTGACCCGGCAAAATCTTAAAAGTGCCGCTTTTTTGTCCCCCTTTCGCACTTTTCATCAGTCATCACTTTCAGCCCCTTTTCAACTTTCTCAAGCTTCTTTTACCCCCTCAACTTCATGTTATATATCAATTTTTACCCTTGATTTGTTAATGGTGTGGATGTGTTTGTTTTTGGCTATATGGGTGCCGGATAGAACAGAATCTGATAGGACATAACATAATAGAACATGATAAAAGAATTGTTCAATGTTTAGTAGAACATAACAGAGCATGGCAAAACAAATAAAATGGTCAATTTACTCGTAATGAGTTGTTTATATATTTTGATTAATTATGTAATTTATAAAATTATAATAAAATAAATGATTTCGTCAATACGATTAAAATAACACAAAAATAAAAAGTTTATGTAGTTTATAGTTTTTATTTTATACATTTTCTATATTATTTTTTTATTATTAATATTTAATAAATTATATAAATTAATCAAAATATAAAAATCGTATAAAATAATATGTTGAGGATAATAAAATGAAAGTTTAAAAAACATAAAATACAATAAAAGAATTTAAATATAAATAATTTTTATAGATGAATGTGTATTTGATGTTTAGAAAAGAATTCAGTTTTATTTTGAGATTTATATTTATAGAATATAAATCTGTTCCAGCTTGTTTCATAAGGTAGGGTGGAACACGTCTGTTCCATATAAAAATCTTGTCAAACATGAAACAATGATCTATATTATGTTATGTCAGTATAATCAAACACACCTTATGTGACACATGAGGGACCTAGACTCTTAGGGGGCGTTTGGTTCGTAGAATAGAATTCAATAGAATTAGAATTCATCAAATAAATTTGACTTTGAGAGAAAAAAATTGGAATTTGATGGAATTTGACCATGTCTTTTGATTACGTTTGGTTGGATGGAATTGGAATGAAATTCTTAACCGAATTGAATTTTTTTTGTTTCCTTCACGGAATTCAACGAGAAAATTACAGGCAAAAAAAATTGAAACTGAAACTTTCGGGCTGGGTTTGGGGACATCTTATCGAGGACGGGGCGAGGATTGGGGACAAATTCGAGGATTTTAACGGGGACGGTGATCATCGGCCCAGTCCGACCTGATAGTGTATATATATTAATTTTAATTTATATATATATATATATATTAAATTCGGGGATTTTAACGGGGATTTTTAGATATATTTCGGGTTCGGTTACAACCAATGGTGAACAAGAAAAAGAGGATTTTTACCTTAAAGAGTTCCCCAACGGGGATCGGGGAAACCGCAGGACCCGATAAGATCCCCGACGGGGATCAGGGCGGTCATGAAGACAGTTTTAGTTATCAGTTTTTGGGACAGGATACCAATAACCGGCCCGAACCTGGCCCGTTGTCATTCATAGTTTTAAACGAGATTGAGCATAGCAGAACAGAGCAAATCGAGATATAGTGTCGATGAATGGATGAGGGCTAAGGAATTTGTCGGATTGGAATTTGAAATCCGTGGTATATGCGGTGGAATTGTGAAATCAATGAATTAAGGAATTGGTTGGAATTAGAATGATTCCGTCACATCTATTATGTTAACCAAACATGTGATTTGGAATTTGGTCAAAGATTTGGACATTCCAATTTCTTTCAATTCCATCAAATTCCATGAACCAAACACCCCCTTCGGGGATAGGATGGGAAACATTGAGGGGAGGATCTGTCAAACTTCCATAATAGAAGGACCATTTTTAACAATAATTGATACGGTAATCATCGTTGAACTGCGAAATCAAAACCCTTTGGCCATTACACTCACTTTGTATACCGTCCCACATAAGTATCGATGATTTTTCATTAAATTATATATAAATAAAATTGTTTTTGTAAATTAATTCGTTTGTATACATCAAGAAGATTTTTCGTCAGTTAAAATGAATATGAAATTTAAAGGAAAATAGATGTATCGTCAAGTGGGCAATTTTTCGTTTTGAACTTTTTGGTGACATCTGGTTTTAAATCTCTTATTGGATTGCTTTCAGGCTCAAAAAATTTAACGTATCTTTTTGAAGACCGCATGGTTTAGGTCTCCCTTATTTTTACTGCTTCTTGAGATTTGTTATTGCTTCCCTTGATGTTTCCTCTTTTAAGTTACTGGTTTTCTCTTGATGCCTAGAGCATCCATAATCATGAACCTCATTAGAGGTTCATGATTTTGCCCAACCAGTTTTCTTTCTCTATTATATCAGTTTTTTCTCTCATACATATTTCATAAACATCCATAGTTTATATAATAAAAAAGGAAAGAATTCAAAAAAAAACTCAACAAACTTTTCTATTTTGAATGATTTAGTCTCTAAATTATTTTTTAAAATGAAAAAAACCATTACACTTTCTCATTTTGAATGATTAAGTCTCTGAACTATTTTTTTGAATGAAAAACCATTAAACTTCCGTTTTTGAATGAAAAACAATTAAATTTTTTCATTTTGATTGATTAAGTCTCTGCATATTTTTTTAATAAATAAATCATCACACTTTTAAAAATTAATTATCTAAATTCTTTTAATCCAAAAAAGTTAGATGAACCAACTAGTAAAAGTTCGATGGTCTATTTATTTTTAAAAAAAATTCAAGGTCTTAATCTTTCAAATATGAAAGTCTAAGGGGTTGTTTGGCAATTCCTGAATGGTTTTGTGCAAAATGATTAAATGACACTCATGATATAGTGTAAAATGAAATATAATTGTTTGGTAATTGTGTACAATGAAATCAAGGCTCTTAATGGTTAAGGGAGATCCAAGATACAAAATTATTTAGAGGGTTTTAAAACTATTAAGAGACAGACTTTTTTTTTGCTAAACAAGAGTCACCTCTTAACGATTCAGAGGTTGTCTCTTAATGGAACTATTAAGAGGTAAACAAACAACCCCTAATGGTTTTCCCATTCAAAAAAAATAGTTTAGAAACTTAATCATTCAAAAAAATAGTTTAAAAACTTAATCATTCAAAATGAGAAAATTTAATGGTTTTTTCATTAAAAAAATAGTTTAAGACTAAATCATTCAAAAAGAGAAAGTTTGTTGGATTTTTTGAACTTTTTCCAATAAAATTGCAATGATAGAAATTATAATTAAAAAACAATAACTAAAAATTATAACAATGAAAAATTACTTATTATAATTAAAAGACAAATAATTATAAATACGATGGTTAAAAATTACTTATTATAATTAAAACAACAATTAATGTTTCAATAATAAAAAATATTTATTATAATTGAAGACAATAATTAAAATTATACTAATCACAGTCATAAATAATTAAAATATTATTATTATATATGTAATCAAAATTATTTTTAAAAATAAAAAGCAAAAAAAATGTCGTCTCCATGAAATAAGTCCATGCCACTGCCACTGCCACTGCCACTGCCACATGACAAGTACCGGTTTTAGCCACGGTTCACCATAATAGAAAAACCGGTCCATGAACCGTAAAATTCATCCGCTACAGACGCTCTTATTTCTTGTTGGATTTTGCTTGTTTTTCCTTTGTAGATTTCCTTAATAAGAAAACTGTATTTTTTGCTTTTTCAAAAAAAAAATAAAATAAATTATATAAGAAAGAAAAAAAATATTGTTACGGTAAATAAAAAATAAAAATAATTTTTTTACACATTTTAAAATGAATTTGTTTTTTTTCCCGATTAACCTGGATATCCAACCCGCTATGCAAACCGACCAATACCAGAATTACTACCTACTTTGCAGATAATTCGAAATCACTATATTTGAACCTTCATAACCATAAGAAAATTTTTATTATTTTTTGGATTTAAAACTGAAACATTTAAATATTTTTGGCCTTTGAAGTCCAATTTCAAACCGATCAAACAAATATTAATGAATTTGTTTTTATTATACAAGGGATTCAATTTGAGGGCACACAGCTCAACAAGCTTACAAACCCTTTTGTTTGCTTTCTGCTTAATGGAGGAACCTTAAATCCCTACTTTCTCTCTCTTCATCCATTAATAACTTTCTTCAATTCTCAGTTTCTTCATCACACCGCTCTTCTTGCTCGTCCCATCTTCATCTTCTACCAATCCGTTTCTGCTTCACTCATATTGTTTTCTACTCATCTTCAGGTAATTAAGCTGTTTTTTGATCATTCAGCTACACTCCAAATTTAAGTTTTTTAGTTCTTCTGAAAATCGAGATCTGGATTGTGCTTTCCGCTCATTTTGTTGACACTTTTTGATTATTTTTTCTTTAAAAAACCAGTTTACATGCACACGCTGTTTGAGTTCTTAGGTTGTTGATCGTTTTTGGTGAAGTTTTGTTCGCCACAGCTGCTTTTAGCATCCATGGATGACTTATTAATTAGAGCATTATAGTTTTAATTGGTAAGATGAATTAAAGCATTATAGTTTCAACTGTTAGGGCGGAATTTCTGGTCATTTATTGCATTTTTTTCTTTCACTTTTTGTTTTTGATATAAATGCGGAAAATAGATCTAAAGTCTCCTGTACGTATGTCTTTAATGTTTTGGATTTTTACTGGATAAGCTGAAGAAGAAGTTTTTGCGTTTACGTTTTGAGCCTTATGAGAAGTTTGAAGATTGGTGATAAAACTGATTTTTGGTTCATGTAATAAGTAAAACTTTCATAATCAGGGCTTTGATTTTTGTTTTCAAGGCGCATGATGATCTGGTGGAGCTGATGGATTTTTACTTGGTCATTTGTTACCTTGAATCGGTTGGCAGTTTCAATTTCAGGCATATGCATATCTCATGCTTAATGTGTTTGTGGATGTCCGAATGTCACAAGCCCTTGAGTAATTTTTTTCAAAATCTGGTTCTTTTGTATCTCTTATTAATTGTAGCATTAGAAGTATGCTTTATCCCCGTACGCCCTCAAAAAAACCCAAATGTACACTCTCATATATTAAGAGGGCTTTTGTGTATTGGTTGACTTTAGTGATTCATACTTTCAGTGGAATTTATTTCGTGAGTTGTTGGTAAGCTAATTTACTGCAAGCATTAATGGTTCATTTAATCAAGCAGATTGACTGGCAAAGCAAGAACTCTGGGTATCTGATGTCTTCACGGCTGTTAGGTGTTGAGGGGGATGGACAAGGGAATGCTTCCTTACTGTCTATGGAATCTAGGTTCCAAGAGAATCCTGGATTGACCGAAAGAAATTATCTGGGACTATCTGATTGTTCATCGGTGGATAGCTCTACTGTCTCCAGCATCTCAGAAGTGAACAAAAATAGTCTAAACCTTAGGGCTACTGAATTGAGGCTTGGCCTTCCAGGATCTCAATCCCCTGAGAGGGATCCAGAAAGTAGCTTGACAAGCTTTGACAATCTTGATGAGAAACCCTTGTTTCCTATGCTTCCTTCCAAAGACGGGTTATGCTCATCATCACCAAAGATTGTGGTCTCTGGAAACAAAAGAGTATTCTCTGATACTGTGGACAGTTATTCGGAAATAAAGGGATTATCTGAAGGAAATTGGATGTTTGGTGCTTCTGGGGCTGAATCTGATGCTTCAAAATCCCTAGGTCAAGTGAAATTTTCTAGTAATTCAAATGTAAATGGAATGATCTCATCAGGAGGTCAGATTATGACGATTAAAGGGACAGCCTCAAAAATGCCACAGGAACGGCCTCATCCAATCTGTGGTACTAACCTTAACAACGTAAACAGCTCTAATCCTCCTGCTGCCAAGTAAGTAAAATAAAACAAATTTGTTTTTGTTTTGAGTTCAGATGCTTTTGGGTTTTTTTTTTTTTTTGGGGGGGGGGGAGTTGGAGAATAATAATCTTTGGTTTTCAACTCATCCACCTTTTGGTGATCTAGTTTACTCATCCACCTTCTGGTGATCTAGTTTACTTGTTCTTAATAAAGTAAGAGCTGAGAGATATAAGAGATTTGATATGGTTATGTCTGGTATGTTACTAATCTGCATCAAAATGTACAGAGCACAGCTAGTTGGTTGGCCTCCAGTTAGATCGTTTCGCAAGAACATCCTGGCGACAAGTTCAAAGAACAGTGATGAAGTTGATGGAAAGCCTGGTCCAGGTGCGTTATTTGTCAAGGTTAGCATGGATGGTGCCCCTTATTTGAGGAAGGTTGATCTGAGAGGTTACGCTACTTATCAAGAACTTTCTTCAGCACTCGAGAAGATGTTTACCTGTTTCACCATTGGTTAGTTGCTTTTTTAAGTTACAACTTTAATTTATCACTAGTGTAGCCAAAAGTTATCATACATCAAATCAAATAAAAAATCCTGCTTTTATTTTAATTGCAAACAACCCTTGTAGAAGGGTGGTTGAAGGCCTTACTTGAGCTTTTTCGCATTTTAGGTCAGTGCGGATCACAGGGAGCTCCAGGAAAGGAAAGCCTTAGTGAGAGCAAGTTGAGGGATCTTTTGCACAGTTCAGAGTATGTTCTTACGTACGAAGATAAGGATGGTGACTGGATGCTTGTGGGAGATGTTCCCTGGGAGTAAGTATCAAGCAACCCTGTCTGTTTTTAACTTTTTGTGCATTACGTAATTGCTCTCTTAGGATCTTTGTGGGAAGTGACATGGTAGCATTAATCAGGAATAATAAACGTACACATAATTAGAGTTATATTTATTAAAGGAACAGTGGAACTCTAGTGGTTGACATGATAGTGACAAACAAAAAGAATAAGAAAATTAGGTATTCTTATGCCAAGCTCTGCTTTCTTCCTTTTCACATGAAGGTGTTTTGTCAAAGTAACGACGGCCATCTCAAAAGCGAAAAGAGAGTGATTTTCCATCTTGCAGTATGATGATTAATTATGCAGAGTTAACGAATATTTGGAATAAATATTTTGCTTCTTGTGTCCCAAGCTTTTGAGCCCTGTTGTCGCCTGGCATATTTACAACCTTAATCAACATCAAATCTCGTCCTAGAGAGATTAGGGGTGTTCGTCTAAATCGCCAAACTGCCCACACCGCACTGCATAACACGGTTTAGAACATTTGTGGTGCGGTTTGCATTTTCATCAAACAGCACTTTGCGGTGCGATTTGCAGTTTTGAGTCATCAAACCGCGGTTCAAACCGCACCGCATATTTATTTTTATATTTTCAAATATATATTTATACATATAATTATTTATCAAATGAGAATAAGTAATACATTATTGATTATTTAATAATTGTTTAATTTTCTTTTTAAGTTTTTACGTTACAAATTCCTAGTTTGAGTTATTTTCATTTGCTTTTGTCAAAAATTGTGGTCGAAATCATTTATAAGTTACCTTTTATAAGATATATTTGGATTAATTACGAACTATCTCGTTTGCATTACGCCTTTTTGAATTACACGTTTAACAAGTATCGAAAGTTTTAATTTTATGGAATATAGGAGCATCATCATCAAGTTTATTATGAAGTTGTGATTGTATAATTATCGGACTGAAATGTGTTTCACTCAAACTGCGTAAACCGCGCCAAATGCGGTGCGGTTTGACCCTAACCGCACCGCGAACACCACTAAGAGAGACACATTATACCTCCCTCCCTTCTTCCAATATCTGTTCTCCCCTGCCCCATTTTTCTGGTTTAACGATGCCCTCACTTATGGCTATCCCACCCCCTAGAGGACTTGAGCTATTGGGTCTGCATGTAATAGGGAAGACAGTCTATGTTTGATCATTATTCCTAAAAAGCTTTTAGGATACTTGAACTCTTTTTGGTTCTTTGTGTCATATATGCTATAACCAAGGGTTTTTCGGATCATATGTTTATCAGAGTTAGGTTTAACAAACGCTTGTTTTAGCTTCCTGGCATGAGTTTTGGGTCACCAATCTTCTCAGCAACTGCTTGAATAAAACTTCCTTCATAATGACTAGCATAACTATTTTTTGAAATTTAGCATTAAAATATGACAGATTTTACTTTATATATATATATATGTGTGTGTGTGTGTGTGTAGAGAGCTACATACATAGGATCAGGTCCAGGGGAAAACTGCAAAAAAATGAAAAACTGGGTTAACACATTGATAATTGTTCATCTGGACGGTATGTACATGTGCATATTGGTAATCTCAATCTGTAAGCAATTTGTCCAGTATGCACATGTGCATGACATGCACACATGCATAAAAACCAAGAAACAGCTTCGATTATTTGTATGTACATGTGCATTCCGTCCAGATGAACAGTTACCAGGGTGTTCCTCAGTTTTTCATTTTTTTGGGAGTTTTCCCCGAACCTCCCTCTACATACATATACATAAAAGGGAAAAATCAAATGGGAACCTGAAAAATGTTGAGAATCGTGAGAACCAATTTCACATGTGAAAGAAAACATTTCTATATGTTTCATATATGAAACATGCGCACATGAACAATAATACCACATTGAGTCCTAGACTAAAAATTAGCCTCGTTAAATTGCTAAGATTAGTTCTCACGGCTCCCAACATTTTTGTGGTTGTTATTTGATATTTTTATTTGTCCGGTATATTTATCATATAAACATTGTGTTTTGATTTCATGGGTCTTACACATTGGTGTGTGTTACAGTATGTTCATCAGTTCATGCAAGAGGCTGAAGATCATGAAGGGCGCAGATGCTATCGGCTTAGGTATGAATAATCTCTTTCCTGAATTTGACAAACAATCCCTATATAATATTCATACAGCTACCCAAGCTTATTCATAAACATTGGTAAATATCTTTTGTGTGTGTATATAAGAAACCCCCCCCCCCCCCAAAAAAAATGAAAATGATAATTAGAAACACTCTAATAACTATTCATCTGTAAGGTATGCACATTTGCATACAAGTAAATGAAGATGCTTTCAGGTTTCTATGAACGTGGTCATGTTATGCACATGTGCATACTAGACAAATTATTTGTATGCACATGGGCATATCATACAGATGAATGGTTACCAGATTGTTCCTTAGTTCTTCATTTTTTTGAGTGTTTTTTTGCGGTTTTACTGTGAACCTGACCTTATATATATATATAACCAAAATAATGTAGTGATCTTGTGCTGTAAGGGGTATTATGATGATGTGAATACATTGTATTTTGTTTGTTTTGACAGCTCCAAGGGCCATGGAAAAATCAAAGAACAGAAAGTAAGCAGGTGTTGGGAAAGGAGTAGTAGTTTTGGTGTGGGTGGAAGAAATGAAGGGGTTATGTTATGGTGGTGGCTTTCCTTTCTGTTTTGTGGTTGATGGGGAGTGGTGCCATGATGGAAATGATTATTTCAATTCATGGAGGGAATTATAGGAACAGAATTAAAATGGCATAATATATCATATGCTCAATTGTTGGAATGTTTGATGTTATTATGATTGTGTCTGTGTGATTTCAGAACATCTTAGAAAGCAAAGACTTGCGTTGTAGTTAATTGGTATTATTATTTTATGGATTACGTTATATGATTTCAAATTACCCCTACGACCTCGATATATCATATCTCAAAGTCACGTATGATCTGGGGTGGAATGTATATAGGATCGAGATGAACTTACATTTTTAATGTGTTTTTTTGTTGAAGGAACTTGTTTGTTTTAAAATAGATGTCTTAATATGAGACTATATTTGTATATTGTTTATTTTTTGTGTTGAATAAACGATGTAAATCATCATTTAATTATTAGTCTAAAAAGTCGACAACTCAAAACACAAGGTAGTTATAAATGGAAAAAAAAAACTTGAATATAATTCGTATATACAATCTTTTACATTTATAATCAAACTTTGAATACTAATATGACGCAGTGTAGATTTGCCGAAGGATCGACAAGCGTCTAAACCCTTTTGGGTTGAGAATTACAATTCGTAAACTCGATAAATTAAGAGAAAAACTGTTAAAACTCACAAAGGAGAAGAAATTGTATTGATAATAATGTGTATAACAATAAAAACAATGAATCCTATTTATAGCTACATTAATTCAGGACTATCCCTTAGCATGTTAAATGTGAGATTTTGAACAAAGCCTCCGAAATTTTGGGCCCAAATTTACATGTGATCAAGGTCTTTTATCGACCTGTGTAAAACTATAGCCGAAATTATTTAGGTTCAAACCATTAATTGTTTAGTTTTAGGTTCAAATTATTAATGGTTTAGTTTTAGTTTCAGATTGTTAATCGTTTTAGGTTTAGCCCATTTTTGTTCTTAACATATATTCTCTTTTATCTCATTTATGCAATGTAGTCAAAAGTTTCGGATGTAGCGGGGTTTCCAAAAAGATTGGAACGTCCCTACATTAGTTAAGATAATCATGGAAACTATTTAAATAATAATAAAAAGGTAACCAAATAATAATCCTAATTTAATTTAGAAAACAAATAACTAATACTTTTAATATTAATCCTAAATAATGAAGAAACAAAATAATTAAATAAAGAAATAAACACAATCTGTTCAGGACTATTAAAACTTGCGTATGCGACCTAAGTCCCGGGAGAAATTGCGAAGGCGACTGTTAATGAGTTCTCGATGTAGTATTTCAGGCCTCTTTCGAGTTCGTTTCTTTCTTCTCCAAAGATCGAAGAAAAGTCTCGTAAACTACCGAAACCTCTTTGTATCATAATATCTTAATTTCATTAAGCTATAAACAAACAACATATAACCATGGCTAGGTTCATCTAGATTGGTTTCAAACTTTCGCTCATTATTTTGAGTAACATGATTTTCATGAATATTTTGAATTGAAACTCAAATCTTTTTATCTTAGCATAAAGAACACCAATCAAAAATACAAAATCAAATTCAAAAATAACTTAACACTGACATTTACAACTTTATTTGCTATGATAATTCAAAGAGTAAGGGGCTGATTACTAAACGTTTACCCGGTAGGTGTTTACCGGGCAATTTTCCTTACCGGACGAACATGGCAAGACCCAAGAATCTTACATGGTAAGAACGATTATAAGGATAGAGAGTCTTATCCGGTAAGTGAGGATGACGACTCTTACCCGGGTAAGCGCTTACCAGATATATTGTTGCATACAATACCATTTTGATATACTACAATCTTACCCAAAAAATAAATTATAATGTTGACTTCTAATAGATAAGCACTTACCGGATAAATATTTAGTAAACAGCCCCAATTTATATAATATAACAAAAAGCTTTTGTTGTCATCCACACTAAGAAAGGCAGCATCATACACCAAATGTTTGAGAAGACAATGCTCATTTATTACGTGTCATTTTATGATTGGAATATAACCAAATAACCAATTGTTGTTATTGCAATTTGTGGTCCAAATATACCTTCAATGAGGCTGGTGGATGGGCTTCATCCAAAACTTCTTATTCCCTAATTCATTCTTTTAGGGTGCGTTTGGTACGTGGAACAGGGTGGAACAGGACAGGACAGGACACACTTGTCCCACGTTTGGTGTGTTTTTGAGTGGAACTAACTGGAACTAACTTGCACACACATGGGACACGGGTGTTCACCCTTCACCCCTGGAACTAAGTGGAACAGACTTTTTTTTTACTAATCTACCCTCCATCGCTCCTCCATGCTCGCTCCTCCATGCTCGCTCCTCCATGCTCAGACTCCATCGCTCCTCCATCGCTCCTCCATACTCACTCCTCCATGCTCAGACGGCGACGGCGACGGGATCGATTTCCTTCTCCATCGCTCCTCCATGAATCGATTTCCTTCTCCATCGCTCCTCCATGCTCACTCGCTCCTCCATGCTCACTCGCTCCTCCATGCTCAGACTCCATCGCACTCGCTCCTCCATTCTCAGACTGCCTCCATCGCACCCTCATCGTGCGTCCTTCCCCATCGGCGACGGCGACGGGAGGTTTGAATCGATTTCCTTCTCCATCGCACCCTCCTTCTCCTTCATCAGGTACACGATTTCCTTCTCCATCGCTATGAATCGATTTAGGGTTTGCTGGTTGCTTTGCTTGAATCGATTTAGGGTTTGCTGGTTGTAATGCTTGAATCGATTTAGGGTTTGAATCGATTTATGGATCTGTTTGCTGTGAAATTGGGTTTTGATCGAAATTTGTCACTGTAAAATTGATTGAAGTTGTATAAAATCGATTTAGGGTTTGAATAATTTAATAATTGATCTGAATCGATTTAGGGTTTGCTGTAAAATTGATTGTCACAGCTCTAATTTGTCACTGTAAATTTGTCACTGTAAAATCGATTTAGGGTTTGAAATTTGTCACTGTAAAATCGATTTAGGGTTTGTAAATTTGTCACTGTAAAATCGATTTAGGGTTTGAAATTTGTCATTGTAAAATTGGGTTTTGATCATGGTGGTTAGAATTCTAGGATTGACTCAGTAGGGGTAAATTGGTCATTTTAACCAGTTCTGTCCAGTCCTATCAGGTCTTACCAAACGCTGAACAGTTGTCCTGTCCTGTCCTGTCCTGTTCTGTCCCGTCCTGTCCTGTCTGCGTTCCAAACGCACCCTTAGGGACTATTTATCAAACACTCACTCGATAAGTGTTTATCGGTAAAATTTAACACTATTATTTACTTATCGAGCAAGATTTAATCCATCAAAACGACATTGTATACAACAATTCACCCGGTAAGCGTTTACCATGGTAAGAGTCGTCGCCCTCACTTACCGGGTAAGACTCATGGTCTTTGTCTCGCTCTTACCGGGTAAGATTCTTAGTCCTTACCATATTCATCCGACGAGGTAATATGACTTGGTAAACACTTACCCGGGTAAGTGTTCGGTAAACGGCTCCTTAATCTAATTAATTGGTTAATATCAAATAAAATTTTAAACTCAACTAAATTTAAACTCTGACCCATATAGTACCATACAAGATATCGTCAAACGTAGCCTATGCTAAATGATGGTCTGCTTTACGTTAAAACGTGTTTTCCATCTTTTTATTGTTAAAAATATCGTCTAATATTATGTGAAAATTTATGGGAAAAAACTGTTACCGTTTTACCTACGCTTCTTAATAAGACTAGATTCTTTTCCCGTATAAATTATGTAGTTTATTTTCCATTTGTTAAACCAATAATTACCCTTCAAAGTCGATAGTGAAATTGTAATCCCGTTCGCTATCTACCAGAAGTAACCACCTCGTGAATGTACCTCGATTGGCCACATAGCTATATTTGACACCACAACGTGTCACGAGTGGTTGGTGTTCGTTAGACATATACATTAAATACAATGCATTGATATTACTATAGAAAAATGATAGGTTATTGTACAAGTTTTGACCAATAAACACTTGTAACGATTGTTGTTTTAAATATATTCAAACTTTTTCTCAATGTGTGTGAGAGTGAGGGGTCGTTTACCAAACACTTATCTGGTAAGCGTTTACTGGTAAAATTTAACACAACCACTTACTTACCGTGTAAGATTTTAGTCCACCAAAACGGGTATCGTATGCAACAAGTTACCTAGTAAGCGCTTTATTGTGGTAAGAGTCGTCGTCATCACTTACCGGGTAAGACTCTTGTTCCTTGTCTTGCTCTTACCAGGTAAGATTCTTAGTTCTTACCATATTCATCCCATAAGGTAATGTGACTTGATAAATGCTTACCCGGATAAACGTTTAGTAAACGACCCCTAAATAAGAAAAAAATCAAATGTAATCATAAAAAGATTTGAGGATCTAAAAAACCTTTACCTCAACGTGTTTTTCACGTTATAATTTTCCTTCTAAGATTGAGATTTAAGAGACTCGTTTATAATTAATTCCTCGGTTCCACGTTGAAAATGAAGTTCCTAATAGAACCTTCCTCTTTGTTTTTGGTCACATGTGTGTAATATATGTATAGGAGGTCATTCAAGAGAATTCGAATTTTTGTGATAATCGTGAGATCCAATCTCAACCACACATTAATTTTCAAAATAACTAATTTTTTTTATTAACCTGGATATCCAACCAGCTATGCAAGCCGACTAATCCCATGACGACCACCTACTTTGCAGATAACTCGGAGTCACCGCATTTGAACCTCCGTGGCCACAATGAGATTTTTATTCCTCCTTGGATTTGAACCTGCGACCTCCAGATACTTTTGACCTTTGGAGCCAAGCTCAAACCAATCAGGCACCACCCATGTGATTAAAATAACTAAATTTATGGATACCATTTAGGGGTAAATTAGTTTTTTTAATCTCTCTCCTCTCTTCGATGAATCTTACTCCGACCAAACTTATCTTTAGGGTAAAATGCGTAAAATACCAACCTACTTTTATAAATTTTCTTATTATAGCATTATACTTTCAGTTTTTCTTATTACAACAATGTACTTTCAAAATGTTTTTTATTAGGGAATCGTACTCTCAAAAATTTACCCGTTATAGCATTGAGTAACATTTTTAAATTAAATTTAGTCATTATATCAGGTTTCTTTGCTACATCGTCGTCCACGTAGGCTGTCCACATGTACGATAGTGCTGACATAACATTTCTTATTATAACATT